TATTAATATCATACAGAGAATACACATCTATTTGTTTGCTGTTTTTTCTATCTGTTAAACACAACTTTTCGTGTACGGTGTCTCGACCCTATTGTGAAAAGAAAGTAAGGACATTAGGGGGAGTAAAGTGGAGCATGACTTTATTTTTAGCTGCGGGGTTCCATGATAACAGTGGCAAAACTGTCCGATGAGTTACCGCTCCATCTGACTTCATATTAGCGTGAAATGAACCAGAAGGAAGAGGTTACCATTTTAACCCTGTCTCCGAACTAAATGAACAGTAAGAGTATAAAGAAAACATGCCCTTATGTCATATCCTATCTTCACTGCATGAACTATACTAATGAACTGGGCATAGCAGGACTTGAGAATAACAGAGAATAAAAAAAGAGACATCTGAAACCTGGACTGATCTTTTGTTACCTTCCCTGCTCAGTGGGAGACGTGACCTGCTTGTTGGGCTCCTTTCTTCCGCCCCTACTGGGAAGGCGCACCTTTCCGCGCGACCGTCCTTGACCGGGCCATGTGGGAGAAGAGAAACAATCAGATGGCTGCTCAGATGAGTGCGAGGAGGCAGGCTGCTGGGACTGCCAACGGTCACAGTGTGACCAACTCGAGCCTCTCCTGAAGAAACAAACAATAGTCTTCACACTGATGATCATAAAGTGTCATGACATAAGAGGATAAAAAGGAGCTACCTGTGGCTGTGTGGGTGGTACGGTTTGAAAGCAGAAGCTGCTGTGAAGTCATCCACGAAGTGGTTCATCAGTAGAGGAGGCTAATGATGGAAACAACAACCGCTTAATCAGAGAAGGAGCCAGAGAGCTCCTCACACACATTAAACAACGCGTTAACACTAACGACATCCACAAATCACAGGAAATGAACAAAAACAAAAATGCTAATCTGTTTAACACTGATATAAAATTAAGGGTCATAAATACATTTTCCAGGCACAAATTCATCTTTAACGAACTCACTTCAGCCCAGTCTTGGTATCCAGATGCAGCAGTCCACACCTCACCGAGGACTTCGTTTAGCTGTTGTGTGGACGCGTGGGTCGGGCAGGACTGCTGGTAGGTGGTAGCGGGGGGGTAGAAGCCATAATAGTTGTTGCACTGGTCCGGCTGGGGGTGTCGGTAGCTTTGAGCGGGAGCCAAAGCAATGGCTGCTGTTGTTTCGGCCTTTATCCTCACCATGATGGGTTTTCCCTTAAACACTCGAACCTGTTCTCTAAGGTACTTGTAGGTCTGAAAACATGGACTCAGATTATTTCAGTTATTGTATCATCAGATCTCCTAACAAAGAAGGCTAACAGGGGCACTTTTTAGCTCTCAGGTAGTCATATTTGTAGATATTGACTGTATAACAAACCTAAATGGCATTAGCCAAAAAAATGTGCCCAAAAAAAGCAGCAGCTAATTTACTTCTCTCCTGGACCGGCCCTTTTCTACCTGTTCTGCATCGGCTTCTGATTTGAAGGTGATGAACCAGTTATCGTTGCTCACAAACTCACAGGTCTTGAACTTAGGCAGGTTCTCCCCTTCAAAGAGAGCTTCCACCTCCTGCACAGCAACAGCAATATCAAACACGCTGCCAACATACACAATTTACCTTTAAATGTCCTTTAAATAACAACACACGTCT